AAACCCAGCAGAAATACAGAAGGTGGTGGTTGAGCATATTGTAAGGAGGGAAGATAGTAGCCCACACTTGCAATCCCCAGTAAGGCTTCGTTCCTTTTCTGGAAAGATTCCCAGACCCAATAGTGAAGCTGATTACGACACTTGGCGCTCACACATCAAACTGCTTTTAAACGATCCCAGCTTGTCCCATCTCCAGATCTCAAGAAGAATTCTCGAATGGATGTGCATACACTCGCTTTGGTTGTTCCTGACATTCGGGCCACACCACAGTCTCTTGTGCTTATAGGCACCAATACCCTTGATGTTTTGTATGACATGTACTCTGAAGCCGGATTGACATACCATCAACCCATCCCGCTTGGCTATAGGGCAACCAACAACAGTCACCACAGTGTAGTAACATTGCAAGGCAGACACACTAAAGTCATTCCAGCTGGTGAAACTGTAGTAGTTGAGGGAGTTGCTGTAGCTAATTGCTTACTGAATGAGAAGTCCGTAGTCATTGAGCAACCATCTTCATCCGCCTTGCCGGGTGGCTTGTTGGTGACAGCTAGCTTGGTTGACGTTCCCCAGCAGCGGCCCTATAAGCTACCCGTTGTCATCAGTAATGAGTCTGACCATGATATAGTCATCCCTGCTAAATGTGCGATTGCAGAGATAAGTGCTTACCAGAGCATCTTATTACAGGAGCACAGTGTAGTAAACCAATCAGAGTCCCTCCGAAAGTGACCAGAGGCTCAGTCAAACAAAAAGCACAACCTGAACTTCAATTTTGGTGAGTCCCCAATTCCATCTGAATGGAAAGAACGCATCACTCAGCAGCTCAACAACATGCCTGACGTGTTTGTGCAACATGACCTGGATTTTGGCCGAACAGATAAGGTAGCACATAACATCAAACTCTCAGATGAAACACCTTTTAAACAGCGTGCTCGACCAATACACCCACAAGACATTGAAGCTGTTCGAAAACATATTCAAGAGCTTCTTGATTCAGGAGTCATCAGGGAGTCGGAGTCCCCTTTCTCGTCACCAATAGTGGTGGTCAGAAAAAAGAATGGCCAGGTCCGGTTGTGCATAGACTACAGGCGTCTGAATCTCCAGACCATAAAGGATGCATATTCTCTTCCAAAGCTGGAAGACACATTCTCGGCGCTCAGCGGTTCTCAGTGGTTCTCAGTCCTTGATTTGAAGTCTGGTTATTACCAAATCGAGGTTGAGGAAGCAGATAAACCAAAAAACGCTTTTGTGTGTCCCCTTGGGTTCTGGGAATTCAACCGAATGCCTCAGGGAGTGACCAATGCGCCAAGTACATTTCAAAGATTAATGGAGAAGTGTATGGGGGACATGCATTTAAAGGACGTGCTAGTCTTTATTTGTGACTTGATTGTGTTCTCAAAGACTCTAGAGGAGCATGAAGCAAGGCTGATGAAGGTGCTCACACGCCTTAGAGAATTCGAGTTGAAATTATCTCCTGAAAAGTGTGTCTTCTTCCAGACGTCAGTCCGTTATCTTGGGCATGTGGTTTCCAGGAATGGAGTTGAGACTGATCCGGAGAAGATCACTGCTCTTAAGACTTGGCCAGTCCCAACCAACCTGCGAGAGTTGAGATCCTTTCTTGGGTTCGTTGGGTACTACAGGAGGTTTGTTAAGGGCTACTCTAACATCGTGAAGCCCCTCCATAATCTAACCTCTGGTGACCCATCTTCTCACAAGAAATGTAAGTCAGAAGAGAGAGCAGCTCAGTACCACAACCCAAAGAAAGTCTTTGGGGATCGCTGGACACCTGCTTGCCAGCAAGCGTTTGACCTGGTTATTGAGAGCCTTACCTCTGCCCCGGTGTTGGGTTTTGTAGATCCCCAGAAGCCCTATGTTCTCCACACCGATGCAAGCACCAATGGGCTCGGTGCTGTTTTGTATCAGGAACAGGAGGGCCAACTTCGAGTCATAGGCTATGCAAGCAGAGGGTTGTCAAGGAGTGAGAGTCGCTATCCAGCACACAAGTTGGAATTTTTGGCACTCAAGTGGTCAGTGACAGAAAAGTTTAGTGATTTTCTTTACGGCAACCACTTCACTGTTGTTACTGATAGCAATCCGCTGACATATATCCTGACCTCAGCAATACTTGACGCGACAAGCTATAGGTGGCTGGCAGCACTGTCCACGTTCTCATTTAAACTCCTCTATCGTCCAGGAAAACAAAATGGTGATGCAGATGGATTGTCCCGCAGGCCTAATGGGAAGCTGGCTGATGATCTTAAATCTCAAAAGGAGAGAGAGCGCATAAGACAGTTCACCCAGGGTCACCTCTCTGATCCAGAAAACATAGATGCAGTAGATCAAGCTGTTGTGCAAGTGATCTGTGAGAGACAGCTCATCTACAGTGCCAGTCATGATCAAGATTTTACAAGTGGTGGTGCCTTAGTTGAAACTCTTGCCATCTCACCTACTGCTGTGCCTGACGGTTATGGGCAAGAAGATCACCTTGGTGGGTTGCCAGTTATCCCCCACTTAACTGAGGCAGAGCTTGTAAGTAAACAAAGAGCTGATCAAATCTTAAAGCATGTCATTTCCCAGATCGAGCAGGGAGACAAACCACCCCCAACTTTGCGGCATGAACTCCCTGAGCTTCCACTCTTGCTGAGAGAGCTAAATCGAACTTCTCAATGACATCTTGTACCGGAGACGCCAAGCAGGATCTCAGACATTTTATCAGCTTGTGCTCCCAGCTGAACTTCGTGACACAGTTTTAACCAGCCTACATGATCATATGGGTCATATGGGGGTTGATCGCACACTGGATCTTGTAAGGACCAGATTCTTTTGGCCAAAGATGGCTTTGGATGTTGGATGTTTGGATGTTGAGAAAGGTCAAAACATGTGGCAGGTGCGTACGGAGGAAGGCGCTACCTGAGAGAGCTGCACCTTTAGTCAACATTAACACCACCAGACCCCTTGAGCTCCTCTGTATGGACTTCCTCTCTCTTGAACCTGACAACAGTGGGACCAAAGACATACTTGTGATTACAGATCACTTTACCAAGTTTGCGGTTGCCATGCCAACACCTAACCAGAAGGCCCGCACAGTAGCAAAGTGTCTGTGGGAGAACTTCATGGTGCACTACGGAATCCCAGAAAAGCTACACAGTGATCAGGGGCCCGATTTCGAATCCCGCACGATAAAAGAGCTCTGTCGAGTGGCCGGCATACATAAAGTAAGAACAACCCCATACCATCCTAGGGGCAACCCTGTTGAGCGATTTAATCGCACGTTACTCAACATGCTAGGTACTCTTCAAGACTCAGAGAAGTCTCATTGGCGTGATTTTGTAAAACCCCTGGTCCACGCCTATAATTGCACCAGGAATGAGGTGACAGGATTCACACCATATGAACTGATGTTTGGGCGTCAGCCTCGTCTTCCGGTTGATTTGGCGTTTGGATTGCTAGTGCAAGGGGGGTCAGCATACATCACACTCAGAGTATGTGCAAAAGCTTAAGTCACGACTTGAAGACAGCTACAAGATAGCAACTGATAATGCTGCAAAAATAGCACACAAAAACAAAGTGAGGTATGACAGGCGTGTGACTGCTTCGGACTTGGAAGCTGGAGACCGAGTGTTGGTCAGAAATGTTCGTATTCGAGGGAAACATAAGATTTCAGACAAGTGGGAGTCAACTGTCCATGTAGTGCTGAGGAGAGCAGGTATTCTGCCCGTCTACACAGTCAAACCTGAAAATCAGGATGGTCCTCTAAGAACACTGCATAGGGACTTACTACTTCCATGTGGGTACTTGCCTGCAGAGGTCAACAAGGAGCCTGACCAGCAGCCTGTAAGGTGCAGGCCAGCAACCCGTGTAAATCCCACTGTGGACGAAAACTACTTCTCAGAAGATGAGGATGAAATCATTCCTGTTTACTGTTTCAGAGAACCCCCAAATGCTCAGTTTCCGATAGTCCATGACAGTCTAGTGCAGCCTGATTCAACTATGTCTTCTGTGCAGGATACACAGCATACTGAACCTCTAGGCATCTGTCCCATCGAGAGTCCTTTAAATGATCAGAATGTTGATTGCATTCCTGAAATTGGCAAACCACCTGGTGGGTTTAATGGTACCTCAGACAGTCCCCTCACACTTAGTGATCCTAACTGCCATCACTGTGACACTGAGTACCTACTTACCGAAAGAGTCATGCCTGATGAACAAGTTGATGAAATAGTCATGACTGAAAGTAACTTACCTGATATCTGTGGAGAAACACAACTTACATGATGATGACATCCACAATGAGCAGCTTCCAGTGTTCTCGGACATGTCAGAGAGTGAAGAGGAGATGAGTCGTGCTGGAAGTGAAAAACTAGAAGAGGAAGGAAAGGATGAGACAGTCGCAATGGAAACAGCAAGTCAAGAGGAGACACAGGAGCACACAGGCACAGATATCCCTGTCAGAAGATCCGAGAGGAATTGTCAGCCTTCAAAAAGACTTGACTATACTGAACTTGGAAACCCCTTTGTCACAGTTGTTAAATCATTCTTTCATGGGTTAACTACGGCTGTGGCGGACATTTTAAGTGAGGGTGAAAACTTATATCCTTCTGTCCTGTACCCTGAGATAATAACAGTTCAGCCAGCACCATGTACAGGGACGGACATGAGTTCAAGGGGGGAGAGTGTAGCCCAGGCTTAATAATGAGAAACACTATTTAGCTGTCTGGCCAAGTCACTAAGGGTTAACTTTTATTTTTCTCAGCATCTTTGATGGGCTTGTAAGTTAGCAAATGGGTGGACGTTATGATGCAGTGAGCTGACCAATCAGCTGCCAGCTATGTTCCGTTACACCTCTCGTTTCGCGTCTCTGCATATTCTTTTGGCGCCTGTACCTGAGCGTAGGAGGCTGCGTTATCCCCTTGGTAAGACGAGAAACGACATGGAGTAAATTAAACAAATTCTGTGATCATTATCGCTTATACTGACTATACCCTGTTGTAATATAGAGAGTAAATAAGAGCTGTGCCTGAATCCACTGTTGTCACGGAGCTAAAGGCAGTGAATTCCGCTAAAATGGTGAGTTGTTTACCTTGCGCTAGGCCTTTGAGTTCGCTAGCATCCATGTTAACAGGCCCAGGCTTTTGAGGCCCATTTGTATTTAACCTAGCCTGCTGAGTTTACTGGGAGTTCGCTAGCATTTATGCTAATCGGTGGTGCTAATTGTGTAAAGCTAATGTGAGACTGCTGTATTCATATGCTAATTAACCACAATAAGCTAGCGGAATACTCTTTAATGCCTGTGAAAATTACAAATTATTTTGTTTGTAGGTTATAAAAGGAATTGTTACCTTTCCATGTTGTTGCTAAATGGTTACTTTGAAAAAATAATGATGTTAAAAACTGTTACTGGAAGTTAAAGAGGTAAATTTTTAGTGCATTCTTTCCACTGTTACCAGTGCAGAGGGGGATAAATGAGCACGCCAACACCTTAATGCTTCTAATTTGAAGTAATACGATTTGATCAATGTTTACATGCAATGCCTGCAATTTATTTATGACACTGCTAATGTTACTTAGGGTTCATAAAACTTAGTGTTTATATCAAGGATGTAATTTTTGATGTACATGTACTTTTGATAATTGAGAAATTCATACTTTTTATACATAAGAAGAAACAAGAAGCTGTTGTACAATGAAAGAGCGATTTTGATATTGCATTATAGGTGTACTCAAATATTTCATTTTATTTTATAGTAGCCTGTAGCAGTCCATGTATTCGCTGAATGGTAATTGAGAGAAATGATTTGGTCTTGTTTATAGGTCAGGTTTTGGTAAAGAGTTGGAAGCCTTGTGCAGCTGAGATCCATTCCACGGAGTGATACCAATCTACATGTTCCAGACGTTTTTCCAGAGCTTTGTGGATTCCCAGTCTAGGTGGCTGGGTGGCAAGCCAACCGTGTTTGTGACTCTGACTTTAGACGGATTGCCAGGATCTTCCTCATCTTTATGGTGGTAGGACAAACACTAACACAAACTTAAAAGGGCCCCAACGGTGAGAAATGAACTCTTGTCAATAAAGGCAAGTGGAACTAAGGACGAACTGAGCTCAACGAAGTTAAAAGGAAAGGGTTTTTTTTTTTATGTGCACACTTTATTATTTTAGTTTGTTATTTTTCATACCTGCTTTCTTATGTATGTACCATCCCTGTGTATTTAATACACTTAATGCAAACTGTAATTCGGGTGTGGTATTCTTTTTATTGACATTCAATTCTCAGGCTCTTAACAATTTAGTGTCTTCTGATTCTGGTCCACATTGATGATAAGACTACTTTAGACTATTACACCTATGTACATTATTACTACCTCATGATAAGGGTTACAGTGGCCACATTTGTGCACAAATAGGAAAAGAGGGTTAGGGTGATAGGCATAGTCGTACTAGAGTGAGTGAAGGAAGAAAGGGTAAAGAACAGTGTACAGTCCAGAGAGAGGGAAGGAGGGGAAAATATAAGGAAAGTGAGCAATGGGAGGGTTAAGGAAGCAGAAGACAATATCCCTGTATGATTCTGAAAGCGTCCAGGTTTATGATTGTCTGTGTTAGTGTATGTGTGTGTAGTGAAGACCAATGGGAAGTGAACAAATCAACCTATACTGTTTTCACCACTTTGTAAATAAGCAACCTTTCACTTTCCTTGACAATTATCATAACTGTGTACCAAGCAGCACTTCATTTTTGTTTTTCTGTAATCTTAGAGGCAGGGGTCATTTAAAAGGGGGATCCAAAAAATTGCTATTATGATCTTCCCCTCCACATTTATTGCATCTGCATCCTCCCAGCCCAAGACAGCATGCATTCTTCTTTTTCTGATCCATTTTCTGTCTGTCTGTCGGTCTTATTTTATATTTGTCTTATTGACAACATAGTGATACATAACTGATTAGAGAAGAGAATAAGATGTTAACATGCCACAGTATCTCCATTTCTACTAGTGGAATACTACAGCAACTTGGGTTTGTCAAAAATGGTATTAACACTACAGGACAGAGAAAAGTTAACTGTCACTCAGGCACCAAGGAAGGAAGTCAGAGTGAAAATAAGGCTAGAAAGGATATGGATGAATATACACAAGAAGAATATAGGAAAGGAAGTATTCAAGACAGGCAAGACAGACAAAGGAAGCAAGACTGGGGGGATAGTTGGTAGGAATAAAATGAAAGTCAGCAAGGGTAGTTAAAACTTCATTAGGAAGCAAGAAAACTAGCAAGGAAGAAATAGAGGAGGCCAGGAAGCCAGTCTGGTGAGCGCCTAGGGAGGGAAGTAAGAAACGAAGGTTACGATATGGTAACCCTAGTTCTATAAGCACAGGCGGAGCCCTCTACCGATCTCTTCGACACACACCCCACTTCCACACTTCCGAGTGGAATGTGCACACAGCGCTAAGGGTGGGTCTGTTCCCGCCCGTGTACAGGCTTGGGAGATTCACTCACAAAGCCAGCTGGCCAGGCTCTTCTTGGACAGGGTTTTACTGACTGCACTATCATTGAAACAGACAAACAGCTGATCAGTGCATCGAATGGGGGCTGTGTGCTCTACATAGGACGTTAGCCTAGCACACATGGACACAACAGATGCACTCTCACCTCCCTGCACCCTAACTGGGGTAGGGGGGTAGAAAGCATTCAGATTTATTGTCCTGGACCTGAACATGCTCCTTATGTTCTTAAGAACAAGGGAGGTGTGTTGTCTCAATCTGGCTGCACTGTGGACACCGAGAACCAGCATGCAGCTGGGGTGAACCGACAGGCACACAGCTCACTCACCTTCTTAGCAGAGGTGAGAGCAAGGCACAGGGTTGTTCAAGAGATAGCATTTTCAATGAGGACTGCTCCAGGGGCTCATAAGGTGCAGATATTAGAGCCACCAACACAAGCAGCAAGTCCTACTGAGGCGCCGAGAGACACAACACCGGTCGCTGTCTTCTCACACCCTGCAGAAAGCGCATCACGAGGGAGTGGGTGAAGACTGTTCTGTCACCAAACCCCCTGTGACAGGAGAGATAGCTGCAGCGCGATAGCCCCTTCTCCATCAGACCTTGCAGGAAAAAGAAAACGGATCCAACCGAACAGGTAGGCAGATCCGTCTCCCTCTCAATGCAACGCTGAAAGCCCAAACACTTAGCTTTAGAGCAAGATGTGGTAGAGACTGCCCCCCGCTTCGATGGTCCGTGCGACCTCAGCGGATAGACCAGCCTGAGTCTGCCTCTCCACAATTTTAGGAGAAAAACCTGGAGAGGCTGGTCCAACACCAGCATTGTGCATATGAAGCCTCACCCTTGTGATAGAGACCCCCAGACCATAGATACAGGCCAGGGCTCTGTCACTGTAGGCTGCGTCACTTCTACCAGAATGACGAACGACCGTTCCCGCCTCACCTAACTGGAGGGATGAGATGGGGGGGAGGTGGGACGCAAACAGCAGCCGTTCTGGCAATGGTGCGCCATCCCCAAGGGTGGGCTGTCCTGTGGCTGAATTGAGAACCACAGTGGGCAGTGGGTGTTGGCAAACAGATCCACCTCTGCTCTCCCGAAGTGAGCTCAGAAATGCTGAACCACATTTTTGTGCAGTCTCCACCCGCACAGTTGGGCGCCAGCCCTCAACCAGCCACGGCCGTCCTCTAAGCCTGGGACATGAAGGGCTTTCAGAGACAGCAGGTGTTCTGATGCCCACGTCTATAGGTTCCCTGCCAGCGCCAACAGAGCCGTGGATTGGACTTCACCCTGTCTGTTTGTATGTAGTAGGCTGGAGGAAATACACCACCAAACTAGAAACACAGCTTGGAGTGGATTGTGGATGTGTGGTGAAAATCTTACTTCTACTCAAGAAAAAAAATACATTCACATGAAGTAAAAATATTGTTTAACATGGAGACCAAGTCTGTGTTTTTTTACTTTGAATACATAAATTTACATACATAAATACATAATACATTTGTATTTTGGCATAACCTACTTTTTACTATAACATCCACATATAATTTTTACTTTGGACTAAACTAATTAAAGTGCTGTGATTTGTTACAAGCAATTTAATCAAATTTACCCAACTACAATTTCTAATTCAATACAAACTAAATATTTTTTTAATTATACCATAATCTATTATACTATACTACTATAATAATATTTTCTTTAGGCACAAGACAAAACGTTACTTAATATACTTATAGGTCAATATAATAATTTATTTTGCTTTGTTGCAACTTTCACCATAAATAAAAGCAAAATTTGCATTAATTCATTTAAGATAAAACCAGTCAGTGAATGCTTAATTGAGTTTAGTTCCTTTAAAAAAAATCCATCACCATTACTGAAAAAAATTAAACAAGCACCATAAAAATAAATAGTCTAAAATTAACGCTGCCTGTTAATTACAAAGTGCTGTGGAAAGAGTCACCTCTAGCCTGATTGACAGGTCACCATGGACTTGTCAATCAAAATAAAAACTTTATCGTCTATTTTTCTTTAATTTGACCAAAATTCACTCAATGAACATCATGTTGTGTTAAAGAAGACTTGAAACTAATGACAGAGACCATACACTCATTACGAAAGTGGTTACTGAAGTAATAAGTCAGCTGAGAAGTATCGCTATTTAAAAGTTACTTCTAACGGGAACGGGACTTATTTTTGCAACCAGAGGTGCCGCCTCCTGCTGGCCGTTCGATAGAAAGGGCTTAAATTACTTCCGGGTGGCCTCACTTTTCAGACCCGGAGGTTCCCGCTTTAAAATATGTAAGCCAGGCAGGAAACTAGAGCATTATTAAAGAAGAAAAGATGGCAGACTGAAACACAATATTCAACATGAAGACATCTCCTCTGCTCTCTCTCTCTCCAACACCTCAATGTGCAGGATGAGTGATTGTTCTGCAGCTGTCACTCGTCCATGCAGTGCAGGACAGTGTTAGTCAGCTCAGAGGCAATCTGTACAGCTCTGTACTGTAAACTCAGCTCTGTGTTTATTAAAAACACCCTGCTTGATTTAAGGATTGGGATTCATCCTCTATACACAGTTAAATAGGCTATATTAGTGCTTAGGCTTAAACTAAAGAAAGCAGTGCAGATACTACAAACTGCACTGCTCATGAACACAAACCCACACACTCAAAATGCAGTGCTATAATCGTCTGTATCCTTTTATATTAGGCTCTGTCAAGACTTTCAGCCCCACAGCCCACATGTCGGCAACATGCAAACACATGCATGAGCACTTACACAGATACGCAGAGCATTCAAATTGTGTAACATGCCTGTTTTATGTAAGTGTGTCACACACCCACTCCCTGGGAGTTTGACAGTTTGCAGAGCACTGAGGTAAATAGCAAGAGGAGAGAGAGAGAGAGAGAGAGAGAGACAGAGGGGATGACAAAGTGGGATGCTTGATAAATACTAGTCAAGCAGAACAAATTCATCAAGACAGTTCTATTTCTTTTAAACTGGTACTTATATAGTTAGCATTATATGTATTTCTGAAACTATTAGTTGGTTAATCAACAAAACATTTGCTGGTTATAATGGATGTTTGCTGCATATCATTAATACTTTGAGTTCTGTAAAGTGCTGTGTAAGAAATAATGTTAACATCCCAATGAAACAGTTGGAGGTGTTTTTTAATTTTAATTTTTTAACAGAAATCAGTTCATTGAATACATTAGCATTATAAGCACTTTTTTTTTTCACAACACTTAAGCAAAACGAACAGAAAAAATCTGTGCTGCTATGTTTTCGTGTCATTAATGGGCACTGCTTGTCTCCTCTGATCTCTGTTGCTGGTGTTTCACAGAGGGCGGGGCTCAGTGCACGCACACACACGCCATCATACTGAGGTCAATGCGCTAGCAAGACCTCACCACTTCAATAAAACACCAAAAGAGCGACCACATCGGCAGATGCAATACTAGAGCTTGTTGTAGACTTTGTGGCTGTATGGGCGGAGTGAGATATTCCGGTCAAGCTTTGTAAACGAGGAGAAGCGGTGCCCACATGAGTGTAGCCTCTGTCACACCCACTTATTACAAGGTGTGTTTATGCAGCATATGGAGGCTGACCCATGGGAAGAAATTATTAGTAATCAACTATGGTAATAACCTATTTAGGACAGTACATGCATTGCAACAATACATTTATCGTGAATTGTCCCCATTAAATAATTGTACATACATTTGAATATTTATACGTG